GAAATTTATTCCTGTTTTTAAAGGTAAGTAATTTAAATAATTACTTATCATTATTATTTTCAGACCCTGGTGGATTTATGCAGCACACATTAACATTAAGTTAAAATTAACATAAGTATTTTTTAAGTTAGTGAAGTATTTGTATATTTTAGGGTTTCCTATATGTATTTATAAGACTTTTATGCAATAAAGATTAGTGTTTATTCATAAAAAAATTAATTTATTTTTACTCCCCAATATACCAATATATATTAATTACTAGATTAGATGAAAAAAACATTATTAATTAAAAAAATATATCTTTTAATCTGAATAAATAATTTTTATTAATTCAAATATAATAATTATTTAATTTAAATAAATAAATCTAAATTAAATTAATTAATTCTTCTTAAATTTAAATTAAAATTTATTAATTTAAAAAAAAAATATATCTTAATCCAAATAAATTGTTTTTAACACAAATATTATAGGTATTTAAGTTAAATAAATTAATTTTAAATGAAATAAATTATTTGTTTTACGTAAATAAAAACATTTTTTTAATTTAAAAAAATACATGTTTTTTACTTGGTTTTATTTCATACAAACTAATAAAATTTGTTTGCGTTGAATAAATTAATTTTAAATTAAATAAATTAAAACAAATAAATATTTTTTTACATTCAAAAGAACATTTATTTGGGTATATCGAAATAAATAATTTATTTGATATAAATAAAATTTATTTAATTCAAATAATCTTTTTTCTCTGTGTATTTTGATTATAGACCCTTTTGGTAACACTAACATGTATTTATCAAAATCCCAGCTGATCCTATTTTAAAGTTTTGCAAACTTTTTTGTTTTTCTATTTCTATATATTATTTTGCAATTATTGTACTAAAACTACCTGTACAATTTTAATAAAATTAAGCAAAATAATAAACTTTCTATCATTTAAATTACTTTACTCCCCAGTATTAATTTATTGAGTCACCTATTATTTTTTACCACTCAAAACAAAACATAACAAAAAAAAACGAAGATTTATATTTTAAATATTTTTTAAAACAAAAAATACTGGAAGTTTGTCTATGAAATAACTTGCAAATTTTGTAAAACAATAATTAAGGTGGTTATGAAAAAAATTGCTATACGTTATAACGCAAGTGACATTTTGCTTTAGTTGTTTATTTAATGTATACTTTATAAAGTTAAAAATAGTATTTTAAAATGAAAATTAAACCGAAATTCAAGTTAAGCCATGAAGAAAATCGAAAGAAGGTATGTGCTGGCTGTGAAGACAAAATTGTTTTTGGTAATCGAAAAATTCAGAGTTTAGGGTTTCTGAGAAAATATAAAAATTACTGCATACTTTTTCAAACGAACACTTTAACTTATAAGTGATTCAAAATTACCTACTTCAATATGGTAAAAACGGTATGTTTGCATAGCCACAATTGCCAAATTTTCAAAATTTAGAAATTGCTAGAGAATTTCGCGGCAGCCAAGAATGTATGTGCTTTATCTGCAAAATGGCAAGATATAAAGGGCATAAAAAATTATTAAGGGAAGAGGACGGACGAACGAACTAAAGTTCTGATATGCTCTTCCTTTCTAGGGGATATCGCTAGATGTAAGAAGCATGTTTGTACAGAGACTGAAGAATTTAAAAATACTGTTTCCATGTTAAAAACAATTCCATGTAAAACCCAAGAAAAAGTTTTACTGAAAATTTAGAGCAAGTAGTAATAGATTTTGCTTCAAAGAATCTTTAGTTATTTATTAGTTTTTTATTAGATACCTTAAACAATAAATAAGATATTGCAAACTGTATTTTACATTATTTTGTATTTATAATGTAATTTATCCATATTTCAGTCATGTATCTGCCAAATTTTTAGAAACATTTGATAATGGTACTAGAGTATTTTATCGAAATAGCATAAACAATTTTAAAATACTAAGAAATATGCAAAACTTTATTTAATAAAGGATCAGCTGGGATTTTGATAAATACATTTTTGTGTTACCAAAAGAGTCTATAATCAGATTATGCTATCAGTTTTGGTTGGCATTTTTGTTCGTCCTATACTTTAGTTTTGACCACCGTGTGTATTAGGGTGGGCCGAAAATCCGCTTTTTTAGAATTTCGTTTAGTAATAGCAAAAATTTTGTTCATTATGTTGTAAAAAAATTTTGTGTAAAAGATTAAATTTTTCGATCAACATCCTAGGCTCGCCCAACGCAATTAAAGATCAAAATGTTCAAAATATTTTGATACTAAAATCGGGTTTATTTCTGAAACTATCCATCTGAAGTAATTTTGTGTAAGGACCTTTTTTGTAGAGCATAAAATTTCCGATCGAAATAAGTTAGGAACATTTTTTTTTGAACATTTTCATCTTTAGTTGCGTTGGGCGAGCCTAGGATGATGATCGAAAGTTTTAATCTCTTACACAATTTTTTTTTACAACATAATGAACAAATTTCTGAAACTATCCATCTGAAGTAATTTTGTGTAGAGCATAAAATTTCCGATCGAAATAAGCTAAGAAAAATTTTTTTTGAACATTTTGATCTTTAATTGCGTTGGGCGAGCCTAGGATGTTGATCGAAAATTTTAATCTTTTACACAAATTTTTTTTACAACATAATGAACAAAATTTTTGCTATTACTAAACGAAATTCTAAAAAAGCGGATTTTCGGCCCACCCTAGTGTGTATATATGCATATTGAACCATTTTTAGAACAACCTTAAAACAGATTTTTATTTAACTTAACTATAATACTTTTTTTCCAGATAAAAATGGAAATTAACTCATCAGCTGTCTAAAGAATGCACGTAATGGAATACATAGCGATAGTATTGACATTTGTCGTGAGCACTACAGTCGTTATATCCCTGATAGTGTGCTATGTATGCGTCTTCAAGCATCTTTTGTGTCCAAAGAGGCCCAAGAAAAATTGCAAAGAATCTGCTGTGTCGGTGAAATACATAACCAACACTTCACAGCCCACTGACACGAGTATAGTGTGAGGAAAATGAGATGTGTGAAAAGATGAAAATAGATATGTGGATTGATAAATAATGAAAGACTCAAATTTTGGTTGTGCATATTTTATAAAGATAAATGATTTAGGCAATTATTTTAAATATAATTTTATTATTTTGTTTTATTAAGTACTTTCAATAATATAATTGAAAATAAATTACATTTAGGAATAATTTTATAGATAGGTAAATATTGCTAATAATAATGGATTTTTACTTTATATTTAATTGGACCAAATAAATGTATTAATAAATATTTTGTTAAAAACTGTTTTATAGAATATTATTAAAAAATGCAGTAATTTAAAACATGGTCATTTTTATTAAAATGATTGTAAAATTAAATTTAAATATTATTTAAATATGTTGTTTGGTAATTTTCAAATACTGTAAATACTCAACTTTGTATAATTATTGTTAAAATTCTAGGGATTTTTTTAACCAAGTTTGGGAATTAAATAATTTTATTTCTAGTAGGTACTAAGTAATAAAAAAACAATAAAGTTGGACATTTTTATAAATTATTATTTTCGGAAAATTTAAAATTATTTTTTTTAAAACAACATTTTAATGACTTATTTGGTGACACCCTGTATAAAGACCCGGTCTATGGTTGTGAATTTTAATGAATTGTAAATAATTTTAAATATCTACTATCAAAAAATATTGATTTTTTATTCTACCCACTATTTACCTACCCCTATTTATTTACAATGTTACAATGTTTTAAAAGTCTGAAACCTATCCTCCGTGACTGTTAGGTTTTCAAATATCTGAGGTAATAAGTAAATTAAACACATCTAAAGCAATCGAATCAAATATAAAACATTATTAAAAATTAAAAAAAATAATTTTTATAACCATTTATGTAGGTGTTACAAAAAGTGATTCTATCCTCCGTGAATCTGTTTTTGCTTTAAATTTTATGCAACGGATGGCGCTTTAATCATTTTAAATTAGCAAAAACCTCTGTTTACGACATTATAGATGCATGTGATTTCTGAATTTATATGCAGATGAGAGTGTTGCTGTTTTATAATTCAAAATTTTAGGTTCATTAATTTGCTGTTTAAAAACCTATCCACCGTGAAGTGTAATATCTCAGTAAGTATAAATATTTTATGTATGTACAATTATTGTATTTTAAAAAAATATTAAGGTGTCAAAAGATACAATAACTTATTTCAAATATACAAAGGGATGTTTAAAAAAAAACATACGAAATCATAACCTCCGTGAAGCTATCTTCCGTGAAGCTCTAATATTCAAAATGTATGATTTCTTAAAATTCTTGCATTAGTGCAGAACCACTTATGTTATGTTATTACTAGACCTGGTGGCTTCCCAAAAACCCCATTCTAGAATAACAGTGAAACAAACAAAAATAAAAAATAATCATTTTCACTCTCAATACATTCACCCAAATATAGACAGCTGGTTTCCTGAAAATAAATTGCGATTTTTATATGAGCAATAAAAAAATATGTAAATAAGCTATTGTTCTCTTTACATTTAGAAGTATTTTCCATATGTCACAAATTTGGTTTAGATACGATGTATATAAATATTTACTTACTAGCTGTTAACCGGCGGCATGTGACGTCACTAGTTTAACAAAGAATACACGTATGTCGACTTAAATAAATACTAAAAATTGTTTTATTTTTTTAATGTGCAATTTATTTATGAATATGTTATTCATATTTAAAACTGTTGAAATTGCAAAAAGTAATAAGTATTAAACGAAATTGTTTACGTTTGATGTAGGATTTTAAAATTAAAATCTATTTTTGTTTTAAAAGCTATCTATGTGTATTGTATAAAAGCTTTTTTATTAAGCCTTTTTATTGATTTAGCTTTTGCTAAAAGCAAACAGGTAGGTATATTAACAGTTGCATTTTTGAAATTTGGTTTTATATAAATATATTTATATATTTATATATAAATAAAACGACTTTATTTTTAAAGAATAAATGTATTTGTACATTTTTATAAAAATATTCTTTACATATACGTATATATTTACAAGTCACTTTTATACAAAAAACCCTAATCTGGATGTAAAATTTCCAGAAATCCAATATTACCTAGAAATAAATTATTTATTTAAAAATTTAACTAAAGTTGAGATTTTTGTTTTAAACTTCTCGAATACCTAAAAAATAACACAAAAAAATTACTAAATGAATATGAATGAAATTTTTTTTTTAAATATGAACAAAATAAACCATGTTTCCTGTATAATTAACCAAAGTATATAATATATATGGGTCATTTTCAAAATTCTTCTACATTTAAAGAAGAAAAAAGTAAAAACAGAAACTTAATCTATAAACAAAACTGTTTTTTCCAAATTTTGTTTATTGAGGGCAGTTGGATTTTTTTAAATAAGCCCTTAAAAAAGATAAAAATTGTCCCCTGGGTCACAAATTTACTAACATATTTAAAAAACTTAATCATTTTGAAAATATATTTTTTTGATTGTTAATAATCTTTTTCAGGTTTTATTTACACTGGGATTTGTTTAAAAAAACATACATTTATTATTTATAAAAAAGTATGAGTACAAAACTAATTAAAAGCAAAAACTATGTCCTATTTCTCAACTTTATATATATTGGTCATTTTCAAAAAACACCAGCCTTCCGCTGTCCGTAAATTTGAATTCCAATAACTTGTTATAAATTATAAAATATTATTTTTGTTTAGTTATTTCAGAATAATTTTTTTTTAATTTTGAAACTTGTGAAACACACATTTTCGCATGTCCCATTAGCGTTTTATAAAACTTACATACATGTTTTTTTAAATATTGAATAACCAGAACTTTGTGTTGCTTTATAGCAATCCATAACATCCTTAGTTAATACAGTAAACAATTTATATATAAAATAATTAATTTTAATTTACTTTTTTTAAATTTGACTCATGTCCCAGACATTTTTTCCGTTGCGTTACGTCCGTCCGATAGAATATTAAAAAAACATATATCAACAAATGATGTTCGGACGTACACATTACCCAGCTGAATTTATTTATTCAATCAGGAAGAAGATAATTGTTTGTCCGCTAAGTTACTCAAAAAAATAATAAAAATAAGGTAAGTAAAAATACTATTTTTCATGTTTATGTTTATTTTAGGGCACTAAAGCTCATTGAGAGTAATTAATGACTATAATGTCTTATTATTATTTTTTAAATATGGTTTTACAAAACTTTGTCCACTGCGTTACCGAGTCCACTATGTTACCTTGTGGTAACGCAATGGAATTTAGGGTAACGCAATAGAATTTTTCGACAACAAAGTGGATATTTACCGTCGCTTTTATTAAAAGTAGTTTATGATTAACCAATTTAAAATTATTTGTAATTACAACTCATGATATAGATTACATCCAAGGAAAAATTCCACGCAATAAAAAAGTACTAAAAGGGACCTTCACCAGCTTATAGTCAAAGAAAAAGGGTGTCTACAATTTAGAAATCTAAGTTGTTATTCTGCAAGTGAGCACCACTACAAGGGATTTTGTTTATGCATTACTCTAAAATCGTACCACCCTATATAGTTTCTTTTTTACGTTATATGATTAAGTCCTTTGTGTACCCCAGTCCGTTGTGATACCAATGTCTATTTCGTTACTTTTTTAGTTTTTGTTGAAAAAAATACTTAAAATGATTTTTATACACTATCACTTGGTACCTAATACGTTTTTATAAATTTTAAGTTTGATTCACTAATACAGTGATTAAAAGAAAATATTAATGGTATTGTTTTTTTAACAAAGAATCGGAATTTTTTTGATAGGGTTAAATTTAAAATTTTACAATTTCGCTAATATATAGTTGCTAAAAACACTTAAACAATTGATTTCGCTTAGTAAAGTTCCAACTTAATTTTGTATAAAATATTAAATTTGAGGTACAGCAAACGTACAAGAAATTTGAAAATAACCCGTATGCATACTCACTGAAAAGATCTGTGCAATTGGTAGAGTTGCGTACCGGCCACGAACACGTTTACGCTGAATAACGAATAATTTTTCGGAATAATCACCATGGAATATCTCGACCATATGACTCCCGTCGCGAATAAAGCGAATGTTTGCGGTTTGCTGATGCTTTCAGCTGGCCTGTTCAAATCCGCCAGGCCTGCCAGTACCAACCCCTAAAAGTAAAAGTGTCTAAATATCAAGCCGGATTTATAGATTGCCTTCCTTCCTTCCGCAATAACGCCCCCTCTATACGCACTGCATTACAAACTTGAAACTTGAAATATATCATTTAGTATGCATTTTACGAAAAAATGTTTAAAATAAAAAATTTGGTTTAAGTTTTATTCATTATTTCATTCGGTGATAATTGAGGCCTGTCATAGCAAAACCAACAATCTCCACTTTTGGTCAAAAATTAGATTTTTGAGACTGTACTTCAACTAATTATCTATAAGATGATAAAGTTTATGTGCTGCAAAAGGAGCTAAATCCCGCCTAAAATCCTATTTTAAAAATTACATTTAGTGCAAAGTCGACAATCTCCACTGATAGATTTGCAGCAAAGTATACAATCTCCAATTCCACCATTAGAAATTAGTAATTTGTGTCACCTGATATCCTAACATTTAATGTTATAACGTATTTTTGAGATTTAATTTTGTGTTTTTTTTACTGGTACATACTGTTAAGTTCTATTGCAGTAAATTGCACTTAAAAATATATTTAAAATAGGTATATATACGTTTTATTGTTTTAAGAATTATAAAAAAAGTTATCTTGTTTATTTTGGGCTATTATACCATAATAAGACGTAAAGGTAAAGCAAGAAAAGGCTGATAATGTCAAAACATTGCAAGTAAAACATTACGGGGCAAAGTGGGAAGAAGATGATGAGTTTTTGTACTATAAAAACTTTTTTGCACGAGGCAACCTGGTCCCAGATTTAAAAGAAACTCCAGATTTATGTGGTCCAGTTCAGAATTTTCCCCCATTGATTGTATAGTTAAATTTTATACCCATTAAAGGAATAAAAAAAACAATTATTTTGTTGTTTATTTTTCTAAATCTCCTTAAACGTTTACAACAAAATGAGCAATCTCCAATTTATAATTATAGATTTCACCTATACTATGCATCCTGGAGACCTTGTAGTTGGCTACTAGACTAACAACAACAATATTTCAATATAATATATAAAAAAAATTACAAATCTAGAATTTAAAATACCAAAATCAATTATCTCAATTTACTCAGTTTTAGTCTGATGGGAGATTGTTGACTTTGCTCTGACAGGCCTCAATTATCAATTGCGCACCATGGTCACTTTTTACCTGCCAGCATTAAATCCTTTAATTTGAAGGATTATTGTACTATTTTTAATAAAAATACCTCATTTAAGGTAAAAAAACATAATTTTGTCAATAAAGTAATTTAATCCTAATTGAGGTATAAAAAAATGGTATTTAGTTATAAATTATAATTAATATTGAGGTATAAAGAAACTATTTATAGTTTAGCATTATTTAATCAATTCCAGATTAATTTGCAAACAAAAAGACCTCCTTTCGTTAAGCAGTTATTCATAATGGGTTTTTTAACAGTGGAAGAAAAAATAGAAATGATTTTGATTTATGGAGAAGCAGGCAGGAATCTTGATGATGCTGTTAATATCTACGCTCAGCGTTTTCCGGATAAAATTCGATCACGTATTTCATTTCACCGTACAGTCAAGCAGTTTACTACAAACGGGAGTGTTCAAGTATTTTATTCAAAAATTATTGGAGAATCATATAAAAAATAGGGTTTTCCATTTTTATTTTAAACATTGCATACTAACTGAGTTATTTTAAGTTTCAAATTAAATGACTCACCCTGTATAAGATATTATATTTTATACAGTGTTGCCAACTATGTAAAAAGTTTTTTTCCCAAGGAAAACATAATTTATTTAAAACATTTGTTGTACTAAAATTAAAAAATATATATTTTTAGGTTATTTCTCAGTATTTCAAATAAAATACTTAATAAAAAAATATATATTTTAAAGTAAAATTTAATTTTAAAAAAAGGTTATTTTTCAGTATTTTAAGTAAGAGTTGTAATTTAAAACTTTCCTGGTGGGTCCGGTATATACCTACTAACATATATGTACATAATAAGTATATTAATATTAAAAGTACTGCAATGTATGCAAGTTATGTTACAAGTAAATTAAAATTAACTAAATCAAAGTTGGCGTGATGAGTTTTGGCAACGCTGTTTAATTTTTTTTACCTGGTTTGACCGTCCTGTCATTTTTGACGGTCATTACGCTGCATTCAGGTCATTTTATAACCTTTAAAACAATTATTAAAACATGCAAATACGCATTACGCATTCAACAAGTTGTTATCCATTTAGTTTGAATTAAGTGAAAGCAATTCAACAATAACTTACCCATTTAAAGATAGGAGCCCAGAAAAATATCGTTTTTGGTCCTAAAATAATCCAATTTGTAACTGAAACTAGCGTTTTTTCTAATTTTTACCTGCTGGGTGCATCCAAAGAGGCCTTAACGGTTTAGGAACGACCTTGTCGACCGCATCTATGGTTTTCACGTAAATTTTCGACATTTTTCTGACTAAAACTGAAGATTTTTCCCGTTCGAATTCTCCCCCCCGAAGGTTACAACAAATGACATTGATTTTGCATGAGCCGAATCATTCGTTAGATAACGAATTCTGGTGGCGAACAGTTCATGTTTTAAAAAGGTAAGGTTAGGTTCAAGAGCATTGACAATCAAAACGTCACCGATCACCAACGACATAACACAATGTAGATTTACATTTGTGATTATTTTTTTATAGCAACTGGGCGCTAAAACGTCAAAAACATATTAAAATGAATGACAAAATCACAATCCACACAACAAGGTCTGTTCTATCTCGTACTAAAAATACAAAAAATCAATGCACAGTTTAACGGCGGCCATTTTTGTTGTTTACAATTTTTGTGCTTTGGGTTTGTGCTCTGTTTATACAGATTAATAATCGTTTTAAACGTTGTGTTTCTCATAGTAAGCCTTAGAAGAGTCCTTAAAGTGCTAAGAACAACCATTTTACTCCTCTATTGTAAAAAATAAACTTTATTTTATCAGGGCTGTCATAAAACTGTCAAATGTCAATTTTAAGGTTAAATTGTAACCCACAAATTAACCTTAAAATTGTCCTTTGACAGCCCTGATAGAATAAGGTATATTTATTATTAAAGAGGAGTAAAATGGTTGTCCTTAGCACTTAAAGGCCTTATTTGAGGCTTACAAGTGCCTCTGTAAGAAACCCAACGTTTAAAACAATTATTAAACAGCACAAACCCAAAGCACAAGAATTGTAAAAAACAAAAATGGCCACCTTTAAACTCTGTGCAGTGTTGCAGTGATTTTTAGTACTTTTAACATGAGATAGAACAGACCTTGTTGTGTGGATTGTGGACTTACTTTATTGCTATTGCTGTGGAATATGTTTGGAATAATGACATAGCGCAGTTAACCGAAAATAACATCCAATTTTTCGGTATTACCACCAAAGAATAACGCATCCAAATACAGCCAGTTATTGCCAGCACAGAAGATTGTGGTATACTTATTATTTCCGGTGGTCTATCTAATATATCCGTAATACTAGCCATAACTATGATCTAAAACATAGAAGAAAGTAAATACCCAAGTAAAATATAATTTGCATTCAACTCACCCATTTACATACAGGAGCCCAAAAAAATATTGTTTTTAAACCTATTAAATGTTTTAAATTTAAAAAATATTGATTATTGTAAGGTAATACCTGCATCATGGAGCCAAAGGGTATGCATCTTTTTAGGTAAAATTGATAGAACAATTTTATCGAGTTGAGAGTCATGCTTATGCTTTTTTGTAGAAAGTTTTAACACTGAAATTTTAAATTATTATTATAAAATTAAATTTGGTGTGGTATTACCTGGTAGTTTGGGTGGGTTTCTAAATGAATTGCAAATATAAATGAGCTTATTGAACTGAAATTTTACTGCCAAATGATTCATGATGATGATGATGAAAGTTGATGAAGTTATCAAAATAAAATGACTTTTTATCTATTTGTTTTTATGTCTATAGGATTTTAGTTGTGTGTGTTTTCAATAGATGGCGGTGGAGAGAAAAATGTGTTTCTTATTATAATTATTATTTTATTACTTTGGGCAATATTTTATTGCTTTATCATGTATTGTAAATTAATATTTATGTAGAAGAATACATATATTTGCAATTAACTAAGGATTTTTGGGTTTTTATGTTTAAAAATACAGGAACCTGCATTACCATTTGAGCCTGCAAATGACAGTTGCGGTTCATTACAAGTTTGACAGTTAAACAATAAACATGTCCGAATTGGATAACTGGATAGAAATCGCCCAGCAGTGTAAATATTTGCCGGAAAACGACTTGAAAAAATTATGTGATATAGTGTGTAGCATTTTGTTAGAGGAATCCAACGTTCAGCCAGTATCCACACCGGTTACAGTTTGCGGGGACATACATGGACAGGTTAGCTTTTTGGTTTCAAGTTTTGAGGGGTTTTAAACGCTTGGGCAGGTTGTTGTAGGTTTTTAGGTGACTGTAAAGGTGTGTCGTAGTTTGTTTTTTTTTGGAGGTTATTTCCACAACTTAACTAAACCAAATTTTATTGTTAACGAATAATATGCCACAGAAGGTTTTTTTAGGTGTTTATAGTGGTTTTTTTTAGTTTTACGACTTGGAAGAGCTGTTCCGCAGAGGTGGTCAAGTACCCGACACGAACTATGTGTTTCTGGGCGATTTTGTGGACCGAGGATATTACAGTCTAGAAACTTTCACTCGACTCTTAACCCTCAAAGCCAAATACCCCAACAAAATAACCCTGCTGAGGGGCAACCATGAGAGCCGGCAAATCACTCAGGTTTATGGTTTTTACGACGAGTGCATGACCAAATATGGAAACGTAAACGCTTGGAAGTATTGCTGTGGGGTTTTCGATCTGCTCACAGTAGCTGCTGTAAGTATTGGCAAGCAACCCCGAAATAGGCTAAACGTGTGGTTTTAGCTGATAGACGAGAAAATTCTGTGTGTGCATGGCGGTTTAAGCCCGGAAATCAAAACATTAGATCAAATACGCTTGTTGGAGAGAAACCAAGAAATTCCGCACAAAGGGGCTTTCTGTGATTTAGTATGGTCGGATCCCGAGGAAGTGGAAACATGGTGAATATATCTGGTGCATAAAAATATTTTTTTTATGAAACAATCTCATTTTTAGGGCTACAAGTCCCCGTGGAGCAGGCTACCTTTTCGGTGCAAAAGTAACACACGATTTTATCCGCATAAATGCCTTAACTCTTATATGCAGAGCCCATCAGTTAGTACATGAAGGTAGGCTAATAATTCTTATTTAAAACACTTAAAAAACACTTAAAAACACAATAAAAAAGCTTGAAATTTGTTTAAAAACATTAACTGTCAAAAAATTGATTTACTTCCGGTTCGGGGCGGTGCTTTCGTGACGTAATCACTTGTTTCTTCCAATGGATTTATCGCGAAGAAAATTAAGCGAATTTTGATTGGTCGGTCGAAAATCGAGTGTGCTTTGACCACGCCCCAACTCGTATTTGTTTGTGCATGGCCATTTAAGTCAAACAAAACGTCAAAACCGCGTTTTAGAAAGTAAAAATCGCATTTTAGGACGTCAAAAATAGGATTAAATTTTGAGGTTAAAGTAAGTTTTAGAATGTTTTAAAAGTTAATGTAGCGTCTAAAGATATTTTAACGTTTTAATTATAATCTTAAATATTAAGCAGGGGCAAAAACAACTCTTAAGAATATTTAAAAGTTTTAGACTAAAACACAACTTTAAATGTAAAAAACTCGATTTTTAATTAAAAAAAATATAGGTATTTAAAAATGTCTATAAGGGAGTTTAGGTTACAAATTGTAACTTACAATATACCTACTTATATGGGTCATTCCACTGCGTTTTTTTATTTTTAATTTAGAGTTATTTTCTACATCAAAATACCGACTCCCTGAAAATTTGAGCACTTTTATGATGTTTTAACAGAAATTAACAGTTAAAATTTTTTAAACTAAAAAAATGGATGGTCAAAAAATATTTTAAATACAGTAAAACTTAAAGCTTATTGATTTTAAAAAATTTAGTACCTACAAGTATTTTATTCTACAAATTATTAGTTTAAATTTGTAAAGAGTAATTTAAATGATGGTCAATAAATTTTAAAAAAATTCTTACATTACATTTAAAGTTTTAAACTTTAGAGTGGTAATTTCTGTATTAAAAATTTATTGACCATCATTAAAATGACTCTTAACAAATTTAAACAAATAATTTTGTAATTTTATAGAATAATATATAAAAACTACAATTTTTGAAAACCAATATTTTAAAGTTAAACTTTTACATTTGCATTTTCTATTCAAAATATTTTTCAATTGTTTTGAGTTTAAAAAATTCAACTTTTTGAACTATTTTGGTAGGAAATGTTTTATTTGAGTTTTATTTTTAACATCTCAATACTATTTGTAAATACCTACTATTAGTTGATTTTATATTAGTTGATAAGTGCACCACACCAGTCAAATGCTAAACTCTATAATGTATAAAGGTCTTTTAGAATTTAATAAATTGACCAAAGATATTGAACTCTGTGATGATATTAAACAATTTAAGAGGTTACTTAAAACACATGTTTTAATGTTATTGTCCTTTTTACATTTATTCATATGTTTTTATAATTAGGTAGATATACAGGGTGTTATGTAATTAATGTTATATATTAAAATACTGACTACCTTTTGACATAAGAAATAGAGGAAAAATATTTTAAAAAGCATTTTTTTTGTGATACGCCACTGGTTACACACTTGTTTATCTCTGCACACCTGTATTTTGTGAGTACATAGATACCAACCAACAAAGTAGCTATGCGTTGCCAGATGTAAAAAATTGTTACTAAAAATTTTTCTTGCAAAAAATAAATAAAAACTCAATAAATACAAAAGTTTTATGCCCTTAAAGCTCTAATACCCTTCTGTATTTATTTACTGATCCAGCTATTAGCTTAAGCAATGATTAGAAAATTTAGTACCTTTGAAATTTGAAATCCATAACCACAAAATTAATTTTTTCATCGGTTTTTTTCTCTGTTTACTCAGATGAAATTGGGACCAGTTCACAGGTTAAACTTTAAACATTTAATTTGTGTAAATAAATCCAAAAGCACTTACCTTTGTTAAGATATTTACAATTTGAAAACATAACCTAAAATTTAAAAGAAATGCACTAGATTTTGTCATAAAAGTTGGCAGATTTTGTTTGAATTTACCTTCAGTACAAAAATAACCAACAATTAATAAAAACGCCAAATTGACAATTTGCATTGTTAATTTTGTCATTTTTGTAATTAAGCTAAATTTAAACAATGTTTGTCAACTTTTTTGAGAGATTTTGGAAATACTGTTGTTACCAACCATAACATAATAAATCCACCAGATTAACCTAAAGTTCCTAGTCGATCAGTGGCGTACTTTTTGGTAGGATAAAGGTTATTATAAATTATTTTTAGACTTTGGAATTTAGAAAAAAAAAGTTTCAGGTGCTTCTTTATGGACCCTAAGGAACAACTCATTTTAATATATAACATTAATTACATAACACCCTGTATAGAACGCAAAAACACATTTTAAAATGTCATGTGTTAGTTTGGTCCGCTTTTTTTGTTCCTCTTTCACGAAGCAACGGAACTTTTTTTATTTCTTTTAGACTTGTTTTTTTTATTTCCATTTGCTGCAAGATACAAAACCTTGGTTGGCTAAATTAAAACCTTTTTTAGGATACAAATATATGTTTGACGACAGACTGGTGACGGTGTGGTCGGCGCCGAATTACTGCTACAGATGCGGCAACATCGCCAGTATTTTGGAATTTGACAGCACCGAAAAAGTCGAGGCCAAACTTTTCGGGCCGGTTCCCGATTCCGAAAGAGTGATACCCAACAGAAACGTAACACCCTACTTTTTATAGAGCATTGAAAGAGTTAACCATTTGTTTTAATAAATGCTATTCCGAATTTGTTTTCAATTTTTATACATAAAAAATATATTTATGAGACTTATTGTGGCAATTTTTTTATTTTAATAACTCCAGTTCAGAGGTTAGAATGGGTAAGTTTTTCTCATTATTTTACAGGTTGCAGTAAATAAATTATTGCTGTTAGGTAATAATGGCGATTTTTTGTTTATCATTGCTCTAAAGCTTTCTAAAAAGACAACATAACATATTTTAGAAGGTTCATTACAACTCAATTTGGGAAAATTACAAAACAAAAATTTGTTCAGTAACATTACTATACAAGTATTGTAATTTTGCTAAAAAAATACTAAATATGTTTAGTAATTTTAAAATGGTGTATTGTAGTTACTCACTGAGTAATACTCAGTTTAAGAAAATTACAAAATATATTTTACATTTTTACTGAACTGAAGAAAATTCGTTTCGCAATATTAAAATACAAATATTGTTATTTTGTACAACAAATTACACTAAAAATATTTAGTAATTTACGAATGATGGTATTGTAATTTTACTACGAAAAAAAACCTTCAATTTTCTTAGCTTCTTCAAGAAACTTTCTTGAAATTGAACCTTCACCTCGCCAGAGTTTTTGTTTTAAGTGTGTTCCACCAACTACATATACCGACAGACAGCTAGACAGATGGACCCATTTTGGGTCTTATCAATGTAGGGTGAGTTGGTGTATTGGTACACATAAAAAACGAAAGACACCCGAGCTTATATACTTTTGACCTAAGTCAACCGAGGCGAGATGTAAGAACATCACGTGATTGCCGCAATCGGTACATACTATGCATTTTTCATAACATTACAGCAAATCAAATTACAAACAACGTTTGTAAATCTGAGATGCTTTTTATTACTGTCAAACTGTTTAGTAAAATTACAATGCGTGTAGGATTTATACAGAGATTGTAAAATTACAACTTATCTAGTAGATTTCCCAACATGTCTTCAAGACATTGTCTTGGAAGATTACTCAAATTGTATTATAATTTTTTATTGGTATAAATTGATTTGTAATTTTACTCATCCTTTGTTTTGCGAAACAATTGTAATCTTACAAAAAATTTTAACAGTGTAAAAATGCTAACAGAAGTTGTATAAAATAAATAATGATTTGTTTATTTCCAAACACTTATTGTAATTCAAATAGCAAATTTTGGTTAGTAATTTTATTGATTATCTTAGTAAAATGAAATTCCTATTATGTATAGAAATTTAACAAAATTTCAAATTCAATTCTACAATACAGAAAGTATATGACAAAATACGCATATCGCAACCATCATTACATTTACCTGTAATCTGGGTTGCCTGCATTAAAAACTCAGTTATTTTTACTTGAATACCTGGGTACGATTGTCTAAAACTTTCCATATAAAAAAGACAATTACTACATCAAAAGTAAAACAAATGTTTTGTTTTAATTAGGTAAACATTATGTAAGAAATAAAACACATTAATAAAAAATAAAACAGCTTAATAAAAATATGGTTTTAATTTATATTATAAAACTACATAATTTTACAATTTGATAAATTATTTTTATATACATATGTATATTTTTGTCATTTTTACAACAAAATAGAAATTAACATTTTATTGTTTTTTTATTTACAATTTGGAAGTACAAAAACTAAAATTATATTATATATTTTAGTCTTTTTATGGCATCTCAAAGGTTTTCAACCCTTAATTGACTAGCAATGATAATTCAACAACATATTTCTTATATTTAAAACGTTAAGTTAACGAATTAAATTTAATAAAAACGGTAAACATATTGTTAACCAACCAAGTAGAAGGGATGAAGTCTTTAGCGTTGCCGAAGAATTCATCCTTATAATTCTGTCGTTTAAGTTTTGCGTTGGCCTGTAATTGTGTGTTAGTTTACCATGAGGTCCATTTAATTGCCTGAAATGTTCAATCTGGAACAAAAAAGTTGTACATTGCGATATCTCAAAATGAACAAAAACCCGAGATGAACAGTAGACTGTTCCAAAAAAATTGACTATTTTTTTTTTGAAAAATATATCGAGAATGTCATTCAGAATGACAAAAAAAATATTTCGTGAAAATTTGAGCCCTTAATATTAATTTTAAGAGGTCTATCATCGCTATTTTTGATTTTTAGTCGTAATTTGATGTTTTACGTTAGAACTGTCAAAACATTGAAGTGAAAAAATTCCTTTTTACTTATTTTTATATAAAATTAAATTCTCTACAAAAAAGGTCTGATTGAAAATTTTCGTCAGACGAGCCGTTTCCGAGTAATTGAGCTTAATAAATCGATGTGTTTTTTCGATTTTCCCTTTTTACTTTGAAATTTTGTAACTTATGAATCAATTAATATTTAAAAAAGCTCACGTCGGATTCTTAAAGAAAATTTAATGTTCTACAAAAAAGGTCTCTTAACATTTTTGCCTAAATTTAATTCTTCAAAAGTTATTCACGATTAAAATCGAAGAAAAACTTAAAATTTCAATTATTTCTTCGTGAATTTCAAAGTAAAAAGGGCAAATCGAAAAAACACATCGATTTATTAAGCTCAATTACTCGGAAACGGCTCGTCTGACGAAAATTTTTAATCAGACCTTTTTTGTAAAGAATTTAATTTTATATAAAAATAATATTTTTCACTTCAATGTTTTGACAGTTCTAACGTAAAACATCAAATTATGACTAAAAATCAAAAATAGCGATGATAGACCTCTTAAAATTAATATTAAGGGCTCAAATTTTCACGAAATTTTTTTTTGTCATTCTGAATGACATTCTCGATATATTTTTCGAAAAAAAAAAAGGCAATTTTTTTGGCCCAGTCTAATGAACAGTAATATCTTGTACGTACCTGTTCGTGAGTTATCGGTATTGTATCTCGAAACTCGATCCAAGTGACAATTTCCGAACATGGCGGGGTGGTTAAAGAGCCTTCGTAGGTAAAGTAGGAATCCTTACGCGCAGTGGTAAATTTGTCCAAAGATTCGAAGTTGTTTAATTTATAGGTGGAGTTTATTTTCACTATTTTGGATAGCCCTGATTCAAATAGGTCGTAGTGCTTGTTGCTTCTTGTAGATGTCTAAAATAAAAAGTAACAATTTAAGTTTTTTAATTGCTGTAAGAACGTTTACAGAACATATTTTATAAAACACACTCTGTTTTATAAACATTTTGACAACGTTCTCACAGGCCTTATAAACCCGGAATTAGCGCAGATTTATAAAAAAAATCGACTGTTTAACGGTTCTATAAATGTTGCTTGCTGCTATTATAATATGTATACACAATAGTTTTTAGAACCTTAATTTAAATTGTTAATAAAAATCAAATAAAACTGTATATAGTTTTGTTAAAGCTCTGTTACTGCAATAAAACCACATATTTATAGGACTATTATAGAAGTGTTATAAAAATATTTTATAACTGTTGTTAAAACCTCTCAATTTTAGAACTTTTGTGCTGCAACGATAAAAACGTTTTTTTTTAAATACACTAAATTATTTTATAAGTAGGCAACTAGTTTTTTAAAGTTGTTGAAAAAGGGGTACACGGAAAAAAAATGTTGTGGAAAGTACTACAATTGCAGAATTTTCTGGTAGAAATTGTTTAAAAAATACGACCAAGAACAATTTGTTAGAAATAATTTAACAATTTTGTAATAAAAATAAACAACAATTTATTGAAGATATAATTATATATTGTAGTTAAATTACTACAATTTCTGTTTTAAATTAATATTGTTATATATTTTAATACAATATTGTATAATTAAATTGTGGAAAAAAATGAAAAGACTAAATAAAAATTAACAATAGTACCTTTACCTTGGGAGAAAAATAATACGTTATGGTGGCAAAAATATTACTAAATAATTACTAAAAAACAATTTTGTAATTATTTTTTTGCGTACAAAGCTGCAGAAAAAAATCGCTCTTAATAACGACAATAAAATGTACTTTAACAAAATAATTTGCTTTTAAGGCAACAAATTAATTCAGAAAAAATGATTTTAAAATAACTATGTCATAACTGTTATGATATCATGTTTTATAACTATTTTATAATTTTCTGTAAAAACGTTCTTAAAGCAATTTTTATGACAAAAATTTAACACAGCAGTTTAGTCACGAAACGTTACATTAAAAAACACGAAGCAGCAATAAAATAATTATAAAATATATCAGTTCTTTAACAATGTCTAATTGTTAGTTGGGCCAATATATATATGTATGTATGTATGTATATATATATGTATAATCGGACTATGTGTTTGTTGGGATTGTATTTTTAGAAAGTCGAGACAAAAACTTAAAAATTACATTTTGTACCTACCGAATATAAAAATGAAAGCACCAGATATCCATCAGTATGTTTGGAGGCTTCATCCAAACTTCCATAGTATTTGTTATAAAATAACACGTGCAATTCCAGTGGAAAACTAAAATAATAATTATATACGATGTATAGGTACATAGCGAGATTAGCATGCCACTTATTTTGCTTCTCTACCCTGTTATTTAACTATGCATTTTACGAAAAAATGTTTAAAATAAAAATTAAATGATTCGAGGGGGGAAATCAATCTGTACTAAAATTGGTCCTCATACTCTCCTCCTTATAGGGGGAACAGGGGGTAATTTTAAATTTTACAATGGAACACCCTATTTTTTATTGCAGATTCGGATCATTCGACTAAAAATACGTAGATTTTGTCTAAAACATTTTTTCATATTTGTAATAGATGGCGCTGTAATAAAAAAATCAATTTTGTTCGATTTTTCTTCTAATACGATTCTGCAATAATTTTTCTTTAAAAATATCACTTTTTTGGTAATAATTATCTTATTAAATTAAATCTGATTTTTTTAAGTACCCACGGTTTTTTAACTAATATTTAAGTTTCCTTTGCTTTAAGTTTTATACGGTGATAATTATCAATTGCGCACCATGGTCACTTTTTACCTGCCAGCATTAAATCCTTTAATTTAAAGGATCATTGTACTATTTTTAATAAAAATACCTCATTTAAGGTAAAAAATACATTATTTTGTCAATAAATTTATTTAATCCTAATTCAGGTATAAAAAAATGGTATATAAGGGTCGTTTTCAAAAAACACCCGCCTTCCGCTGTCGGTAAGTTTGAATTCCAATAACTTTGTTAAAAATTATTGGATCTTATTGATTTAAAAACCAAGTGAAAGCCTAACAAGCCCATGGTAAACTCTTTCAGAAAATTTTTCTTTAGTTATTTCAGAATAATTTTTTTTTAATTTTGAAACTTTACATTTTCGCATGTCCCATTAGCGTTTTATAAAACTTACATACATGTTCTTTTTTAAATATTGAATAACCAGAACTTTGTGTTGCTTTATAGCAATCCATAACATCCCTAGTTAATATAGTAAACAATTTATATAAAAAATAATTAATTTTAATCTACTTTTTTTTAATTTGACTCATGTCCCAGACATTTTTTCCGTTGCGTTACGTCCGTCGCGTTACCGATAGAATATTAAAAAAAAACATATATATGGCAACTTTTTTGGTATTCACGTGATCAACAAATGATGTTCGGACGTACACATTACCCAGCTGAATTTATTTATTCAATCAGGAAGATATCGGTTGAAACAGGTGCAGGTAACGCGAATGTAATAATTGTTTGTCCGCTAAGTTACTCTAAAAAAAAATAATAAAACTAAGGTAAGAAAAAATACTATTTTTTATGTTTATGTTTATTTTAGGGCACTAAAGCTCATTGAGAGTAATTAATGACTGTAATGTCTTATTATTATTTTTTAAATATGGTTTTACAAAACTTTGTCCACTGCGTTACCGAGTCCACTATGTTACCTTATGGTAACGCAATGGAATTTAGGGTAACGCAATAGAATTTTTCGACAACAAAGTGGATATTTACCGTCGCTTTTATTAGAAGTAGTTTATGATTAACCAATTTAAAATTATTTGTAATTACAACTCATGATATAGATTACATCCAAGGAAAAATTCCACGCAATATAAAAGTACTAAAACACCAGCTTATAGTCAAAGAAAAAGGGTGTCTACAATTTAGAAATCTAAGTTGTTATTCTACAAGTGAGCACCACTAGAAGGGATTTTGTTTATGCATTACTCTAAAATCGTACCACCCTATATATAGTTTCTTTTTACGTTATCTGATTAAGTCCTTTGTGTACCCCTGTCCGTTGTGATACCAATGTCTATTTCGTTACTTTTTTTAGTTTTTGTTAAAAAAAAATACTTAAAATGATTTTTGTACACTATCCTTGGTAATACGTGTTTATAAATTAGAATTTAATTCACTAATACAGTGACTAAAAGAAAATATGAATGGTATTGTTTTTTTAACAAAGAATCGGAATGGTTTCTTTTAAAAAGTAACTTAACGAACATACATATTTAAAACAAAAACATACAATTTTTCATAAAAATAAAATAAAATATTGGAGTCAAAAGTTTGTGAACTAAGTACATTTTATTTAAAATTATTTTTATAACAACTTTGAATTGAATTAAATTTTGGATTTCAAATTGGTAATGAAGATATATAAAGCTAGCTAAACACATTTTTCTGAAAAAAACGTAAAAAAAATTAAAAAGTGCACTGCCTGTCTTAAATGTAAGTATACAAAACTCTAAACATTTATAAAAATCCAACCAAAAGTCAATTTAAGCAAAAAAATATTTTGATCTTCATTTTACTGAAAGCGGGTGTTTCTTGAAAATGACCCATAAATAATAACTATTTATACATAGTTTAGCATTATTTAATCAATTTAGTTCGAAGATTAATGTAGTGTATTAATATTTTTCGCCTAAAATTCATGTATTGGTTTTATTTACCTGTTATGATTGAGCATGTTTTCTGAGCCGTGCGTATCATTATTACCCCAATGAAAATGAAGATGGTTAAACTCGTAGGTACCATTAAGGGGCCCTCCGTTTATCGTTGGTGTTGGGCCTTCTTCTATTGTCATTTTTACTAAAAAAAATGGTTATTCTTTTTCAACATAAAAATAAGTAAGTAGGTATATAAATTTTACAAAAATTTTGTTTTAAATTAAAACAAAAGATTGTAGAATTAGTTCTTAAGGGGGCGATCCGATTTCCTATTACAGTTTTTTATTTATTTCCTTGAACTTTATTTTATTAATTTCATTCGTGTTATAATATAAGGTATGGTTACCTTCTAGTAAAAAAAAATAAAAGACATAATTTATAAGCATAATTTAAATTTTTAGGTAGTAGGTACCTATGGAATTTATAAGCACTATTGAATTTTATTACGTTTACGTCTACGTTCATTATAAAAAAATCTTAAAAATAAATTATGTTGTCAAATGGATCTAAAATATTTCACAGCTAGATTAGATTTATAATATTTAAATTTACTATACAGAAATTAGATTCCTTGTATTTTTTATATATGTTTAATAAAAATATCGCATCTAATTATAATAATTAATTAATTAAATCATAGGCGTACACCTTGTTTTTTAATATTTTCAAAATAGGTATTTTAATAAGAAATGTACCTACCTGTATGGCCAGTGTTAGTTAACCTAACATTTCTAAGGGGTTTATTAAAAAAGTCGAACCTTAATTTAGGAAGATTTACCATTTGTACATTGTGTATATCGATATCGATTGGACTTTGATGCTTTCCCACGCATTGCTTGTATCTTTTACCCCATTCACTGGGCCCTAAAATAATTTTTTTTAACATTTTCTGGCCTTATTGTGCAACAAGTCAGTAGCGTAACAGTTTTGCTAACAAATGTTGTCTTCCCACCTAGTAGTGACGCCACTGGTGAGCACAAAACTTAAAATATATAAATTAGTAAGAAAAAATTAATAAATTAATATGTCCAAAAAATTAAATGAATGGCTACGATGGTTTTTTATACATAAAAAAAAATAAAAAAATTAAGACATTTTAAACTTACTATTCTTACTTAAGTTTGGCCTACTCGTTATAGGTACTATAAAATAAATCAAAAATATATTTTTTTTATTTTTTAAAAATATTTGTTTACGTAAGTTGGTCAAAAGTTTGAATTATAATGAGTTATAACTTAAAAAAAAATTTAAAATTAATCATAAAAATATATTTGCCATAAATTATTAATTATTTCAAGCTATAAATCAATAGGTACATGTGTAGCTTATGTAACGGTAAAAAAAATAAATTTGATTTATTATTATTTATTAAAAAATAGTACGAATTATTGAGTAAATATTTATACCATATAGGTATTAAGCAAAAAAATTAAATAAATTTATATAGACTTTTATAAAAAAATATATATATATATATACAGGTTGAGTCATTTAACTTAAAACCTTAAAATATCTCAGTTAGTATGAATTTTACGAAAAAATATTTAAAATAAAAATTAATTGATTCGAGTGGGGAAATCAATTTTCTTCTATATACGATTCTGCAATAATTTTTCTATAAAAATATCACTTTTTTGGTAATAAATCTTATTAACTTAAATCTGATTTTTTTAAGTACCCACGATTTTTAAACTAATATTTAAGTATCCTTTGGTTTAAGTTTTATACATTATTTTATTCAGTGATAATTATCAATTGCGCACCATGGTCACTTTTTACCTGCCTGCATTAAATCCTTTAATTTAAAGGATTATTGTACTATTTTTAATAAAAATACCTGATTTAAGGTAAAAAAACATTATTTGGTAAATTAATTAATTTAATTCTAATTGAAGTATATAAAATGGTATTTAGTTATAAATATTAATTATTATTGAGGTATAAAGAAACTATTTATAGTTTAGCATTATTTAATCAATTTAGTTCGAAGATTAATTTGCAAACAAAAAGACCTCCTTTCGTTAAGCAGTTAATCATAATGGATTTTTTAACAGTGGAAGAAAAAATATAAATGATTTTGATTTATGGAGAAGCAGGCAGGAATCTTGATGATGCTGTTAATATCTACGCTCAGCGTTTTCCGGATAAAATTCGATCACGTACTTCATTTCACCGTACAGTCAAGCAGTTTACTACAAACGGGAGTGTTCAACCGAAAAAAAAGTTCGTCGAGCAACAGTCAATTTTTGTATATCAACTTAATTATTTGTTTAGGAAAAAATGTGTTTTTACGTTTTTTTGTATAACCATAAATTTAACTGAAATCGGAGGTCAAAGTTTAAAATTAATAAAATAATTAAAATTTAAAAGCTCCACACAAAAAAATTAATTATACGGTATTCTTCAAATTCATTAATTATTGCACTTTTTAATATCAGAACTCGACATAGGATCAATAGCAAAATTAAAATCCGTCAGTTACCTATAATTTTTTTCCTGGAAAACTTGAATTGATTCGCCAGGTTTTTAGCATATTTAATGTAGCTTCCAGGTGCAAAAACAGATTTTAAAAGAAAAAGTATACAAGGTGTTTTTTAGATGAATGTACGAGGTGTGTTCAGAAAATATCGGGAATTGTTAAATTTCGCGGGTTCGGAGGGTCCGGTTGTCATAAAATTTTCTTTATTATGTTGGTATACATGCCCCCGAAGTAAAAAAACTTTAGCTGTTTTCATTGTTTACTTTGTCTGTGGCAGCCGCTAAGGTTAGACGTGTTTTATGAGCTCGGCTATTTTTCGTTCGCGAAATGAAATGGATCAAAGAATTTGTATCCAATTTTGCTTAAAAAATGAAATAAATTCTGTGAAATGTTAACAAAGGCCTATAGTGAGTCTGCTATAAGTAAGACAAGAGTTTACAAGTGGAATAGGAGTTTCCAAGATGGCCGTGAAGACGTTGAAGATGACGAACGCCCCGAACGCACAAGCACATTTACAACCTATAAAAACATGGAAAAAGTGGAAGAAATGGTTATAAACCAACAGAGAAGTCGCTGATGATGTTGGTATATATCGATTGGCTCATCCCATGAAATTTTTTCGAATGTTTTGGGTATGAAACGCGTGGCAGCAAAATTTGTTCCAAAATTGTTAAATTTTGAACAAAATTTTTGGCCAAAAACAATACTGTAATGATGCCCCAGCCTCCATATTCGCCAGACATGCCTCTGTCTGACTTTTTCCTATTCCCAAAAATAAAGAGAACCTTAAAGGGCCGTCGTTTTGCAAGCATAGATGACATTAAAAGCGCATCGCTAAAAGAACTAAAGGCTATCCCAAAGATCGAGTTTTAGAAGTGTTTGGAAGAAGAACTGGCCCATGTGCGTAATATCCAATGGGGACTATTTTGAAGGCGACAACATTAATGTAGACGAATAAATAAATATTTGTTTCAAAAAACGAAAATTCACGATATTTTCTGAACACACGTCGTATATTTATATCATACGGTATAATTAAACGAAATCTTATGTAAATAAATAAATAATACTCAATTATAATAAATCACACGTTCTTAATTTGCGCTTTCCGACGGTGCTAATTTTAATTTAGATAAACGGTTTGTAATACAAACTTTGTATGAAACAACTTTAAATTTTAATCCAACAACGAAATTCTTTAAAATTAAATCAAACAATCTTACAAAGATGATTAAATTTTATATTTCGCCAACTGCATTTTTTAAAAATTTTCTAGGCAAATAAAAACAAAATGTACCTACATTTCTGATTTTTCACATAAGTTAATAAATTTTTTAAAATTAACAGTTTATGCATGAAAAATGTTTTTAAACAATTATAATTTACGGTAAATAATTATTGTTTATCGCATATAATAATGTACATTTAAAAAAGTAAGTTTCTTTTAACAATTGAAATTTTAAAACGTGGGAAATGGTTTCCCATTATTTTCTCTCCGAAAATTACAAACAAAAGTGAAATAAAATATAAAATCAAACAGTGTGTCAACTTTTCTTTAAATATGTCACTATCACCAGCTGCATTTGTGTTATCTTATGCAAATGGCGACATTAGATGGCCACCGAGATCGTACGACTTAAGCCCACTTGACTTTTTCTTGGTGGTATTTGAAGAGACAATATTTGAGTGTTGGTGAAATTTGAATACATTTATAAATGTAAAAATAAAAAAGTATATATTAAAGTTCCGGAAAATCTTAGTGTGAAGGTTTGACCCATAAACAATTGATCTACCTATTAATGTTGTGTAATTTGTTTGATATTTTACATATTTATAACTACAGACATCCTCTAATTTATCAAATGTCTGACATTTGTTTCCATGGTAATTCTTTATTGTTAGATACTTTTTATGTAATGTTTATTTATTGGCATTTTGGCTGAAACTTTTTTATATTTTTCTACCCTATCAAAAACATTTTTCAAAATTTTTTCACCCAACCGAAAGAAAGTTATGGCTTTTCATTTTTCAATTATCTATAACTTTTTCAAAAATTTACTTATCGAGACGTTTCTTTTTGCAATTTTTTTATTTTCAGATGTCTTTTTCAGAAAAATATAGAAAAAGATTATTCCGACCGATCTTCAACGGTTTTAAAAACAAAATTTCTACATGAAAAAATAAAACTGTGGTAAACATCGCAAAAATGTCAATGTTTTCCGAAAAAAAAAATAGAAAATAGTTCTGAACTACATTTAAAAACAAAAAAAAATAAAAATAGTTTTACATACAATATGTATAAATACAATACCTGCTCTCTAAAAATGAATTAGTCAAAAATTACAGTTTTTGAGATATAGTCAATTCCATATTAAATAGAAAATTGACTATATCTCAAAAACTGTTCTACTTTTTTAACTTTTGATGACATTTTCGGATTCAGAGTAAAATTTTGGTTAACCATGGTACAAGTGAAAAAGCAGCCACTAATAACTATTAGTCATTTTTGACTAATTCATTTTTAGAGAGTGAATCAAATTATTTAATAAACTATGTTTTTTAAGTAATTAAACAAAAAACTAATAAACCACTTATAAATTTTTGTCCAAAAATAAACCAAATAACATTTTTTTTATTTTATTTGTTTTTAAATGTTATTTTAAAAAAAGAATATAAAAAATACTATTATTTATATTTTTTTCTTACTTTTTTTAAAAACACAAGTTAAATTTTTTTTATTGGAAAAAAAATAGAAAACGCCCAATGCCAAAGTTTCTAATAAAAAAAAGAAAAAAAATTAAGGATGACAATCATCGAGAAATTTTTATTTTTTTTCGAATTTTTTTTATATATTTTTTAAAAAGTAGTAAAATTTTGAACAAAAACACGGCAAGGTAGGTAAATAATTATAAAAGTTATAGATATTAAAAAAAAATGTTTTCACATTTAAGTGTATTTTAGCATATTTCTTAGAATTTTTTTATATTAAAGGATTTATTGTAAATTTGTTTAATAAATACATATTATTATTATGTCAGATTTTACTATTGATTCACAATCAGAATTTATTAAAAGTATGTTGTTAGATAATAATAATGAAATAATTGCGGTTTTTTATACATATTTCTATAATAAGTGTTCAAAGTTATCACTGCTATCATAACCCCCTTATTATTGGAACTGCAAAGTCGGTCAAATTAGCATTTTTTTCTTTTGATTTAAATGGTAAAAACAGAAAAACTATTTACGAAAATAACATTTTTTTAAATGGGACACCCTGTATATTTTTACATATCTTAAAAGATAATTTACACATTATTTTGTAATGCCTTAAAAATGAAAAATTCAAAAAATTGAAATTAAAAAAATTTTTTTGTCCATGTGTGTTGTAACGAATACATACCTTCATCACCATCATATCCAAAATCTTGGCAAAAATAACCTAAAAAAACAAAATATAATTAAATCATGCTACCACACCTAGATTTATAAAAAAAATAGTTTTTTTACTAAAATTAAAATAAATTAATTAATTAATTATTGTATATTCTTAACAAACTTTCACCTTTGTTATAATTTTTAAATAGACCAATTAATTGATTGCAAACCTTGAGACCGTGCCTACACCCGAAAATAAAACAGTCAAAATTTAATAAAATTTGTTGTTAGACACCTAACAAACTTTTTATTGGATATTTTGACCCATAATTAACCCAGTAACTATATTAATGGGTCGACTCTAACCGTACGAGAATATTAATCATTTAATACTTATGTATAAGTTTTAGTCCCATTAATATTTAAACCATGTAATATATCAGTTTAAACATATTTATGCAAAATAAGTAGATTAGTCGACGTTATGACAGTAAATTGTTTAAAACAATTTTACATAACAATAATTCGTATAAAATTTGTAACAGGCAAATTAATAAAAATGTCAGTTTTTTTATTTAATATTCTACTATTTTATAATTTTATTATTAAAATTTTTTTTTTTTAATTTTATAAAAAATTAATTTGCACTTGAAAATAGTTCTTCTGACAGGCTAACAGATAAGCAGTGTGTTTACAAGAAAGTTTGTTCAAATAGAAATTTTTTACCCATATAAATTCTGTTTGCGATTTGATGACTATCAACATTTTAATTCATTGCCACTTATTGTATTGTAACTTTTTCTCAAATAAATTAGCTATAAAAACTAATTTAACTTAATTTTTTTTAACGTTCGTAGACTAGATAAGGAAACAAATTTTTCGAAAAGTTAAATTTTAATTTTACACGTCAGTTGATTAGTGTCATTAATAAAAATAAAAGGTGTTAATAAATTGTATTTGTTCATGTAATAGAATATTAATTTCCAAAAATAAAAATCCCATTAGCACTTTAACAATTGTTTACTTAATCAAAATTTCTATAAAAATCTGACCTAAAAACCGTTAATTTAAACGAACTAATTTAAAGTAAAAACAAAATATAAATTCTTAATGAAAATAAAATAGTATCCTTTATATTAATTAATTACAATTAAATATTCTTTTATTGTTTCCATCGATAACTTGTCCCAATTTTGGTTGGGTTATTTATTATTATAAATAAATAACTATCAATTCAATAGATATTGACCGAATTGCAATTCCATGAAATTCTATCCACCATCATAGATTAATAGATTAAGCATTTTAAGCCAAATATCATTTTATAATTTCTTACATTAGTTTAAAAGTGATAAATAAATAAATAACCGCAATTAATTATTTTTTACAATGTTTTAAAAGTCTAAAACCTATCCTCCGTGACTGTTAATCTTTCTAGGTTAATCAAATATCTGAGGTAGTAAAAGCATACTAAAAATATCATTAAAAGAAATTATTTTTATAACCATTTATGTAGGTGTTACAAAAATTGATTCTATCCTCCGTGAATTTGTTTTTGCTTTAAATTTTACGCAACGGATGGCGCTTTAATCATTTTAAATAAGCAAAAACCTCTGTTTACGACATTATAGATGCATGTGATTCCTGAAGGTCAGTTAGAATTTATATGCAGATGAGAGTGTTGCTGTTTTATAATTGAAAAGTTTAAGTTCATTAATTTTCTATTTAGAACCTATTAATATCTCAGTAAGTAGATTTTTTTATAAATATTTTATGTATTTATGCATGGTGTCAAAAGATACAATAACTTATTTCAGATATACAAAGGGATGTTTAAAAAAAACATACCAAATCCTAACCTCCGTGAAGCTCTAATATTCAAAAATGTATGATTTCTAAAAATTCTTGCATTAGTGCAGAACCACTTATGTTATAATCGAGATAATAATATTACAGTTAATAGATGTTGTTCCCAAAATTTTAAAAGCTTTACCGGCGAAATCAAAGTATAGATAAACATGCACCTGAAATGACATTTCAAGAAACTATAAATAGATCATTATCATTTATTGAAATATAAATAAATATTGACTTTATAAGCGTATTGACGACCTAAGTTTAGGTTTAGTTTACATTAATCTTTATCGTAATTATATATCTATTTTTTATACCTTAGTGAACAAGGTTTCTAAAAGGTTTTTTTTATTCACCACTTATAATAACAATATAAAATCAACTAATTTAATGCTACTTAATATGGTTTATTAAACTAAATTAAAGGCTTATTTTCAACGATGGGTCAGCTATAGCGTGACTAACAAAAGCTGTACCAGAGGCACGTTTTATCATTATTGCAGTGCAAAGTATTTTTGTTCAAAAGATATGAACATTATTTATATTTACGCAATTCATTCAAGATACATCACAATTATCCCAATGGCATGTCAATTTTACAACAAAATCTGGTAGCTTCTAATACATGGGAGGGGATGCAAAACACTTGTTTAGTACGTTTTGTATTATTGCAAGTTGCAATTCGTTATTTTCTAGGGGCAGTGATATAATATTATAATTCTATTATAGGTATTTCTAATATAAATTTTGCCGGTTGGGTTGTGTTGTGTTGTGGCGTGTTGTATGTACTTTCACAGTGGAGTTGGAATCATTAAAACTCTTTTCAAATTTTAATTAAATTAATAATAAAATTTAATTAATTTGTATATTGTCTTTAATGGTAAAATATGTTATAAAATTTTTGTTCATTCAAAAAAGAAATATTTTTGGTTCTTGTACTATGCTCCACACCTCAAAGTCCCACCACGTGACCACGTACGGAACGCAGTCATTTAAAAATTTGGCATTTAAGGCTTTTCAGGTTATGTATCTGTCAAAGTATAGTCAACGAAAGAAATAATATTATGTTTAGGCGTTAAAAATGTATAAATCTTTATAACATTACAATAACAATGGATGGTTTAAGAATTTAAGAATATAAATACTGCATTTAATGAAATTCCAAAATGTATGGTGCCAAATAAGTAATATTTTTGTGCATTTGGTCCAAATATCTAGTTTTCTCCATAAAATAATTTTAGCTAAAAGCATTTATTAAAAAAAATCTAGTTTCTCTATTATGGAATAAGAATATCTGTATTAAAGGTAGGTTAATATATTATAACAAAAATATCATCTAATTTTGTAATTTTAAGGTTAGAAAAATTTATTTTGACCAAAATAAATAAGTATTATGGATTTTTTAAAAGACTGTATAATATGGTATTTAAAAATGTGGTAGTTTTTCTTATCCAGCTTAAAGTGTACCTACATAAAGTTTTGTCAATACAAATAGTTAAAAAGCTTCGACTGAATTTGATCTACATCAAAAAATCATTATAACCTTAATATTTTAATAAATCACATGTCATGGGAGTATTAAATATTTTTACAAGTTTCTCTAAAAATTGTTTGTTTTCTTATTATCTAACTTAAAGTAGGTATGCCTAGAGGAATGCACAAGTTTTGTCGTTAGAAGTATAAAAGCTTCAATTTAATTTGAACCATATTCAACAATTATTTAGTATACCTATATTTATTTATGACCATATTAACACACTCTTTCAAATAATCCACTTATTTATTTTGGCCAAAATAGATTTTTCTAACCTTAAAATACAAAATTAGATGATATTTTTTGTTCTAATACATTAACCTACCTTTGATACAGATATTCTTATTTCATAATAGAGAAGTTAGATTTTTTTTAATAAATCCTGTTTAGTTAAAACTATTTTAAGGAGAAATGTAGACCCAATGCAAAAAAATATCACTTATATTGCACCTTACACTTTGGAAATTCATTAAATGCAGTATTTATATTTCTAAATTCTTAAACCAACCATTGTTATTGTGATACTTTAAAGATTTATTAACTTTTAACGCTTAAACATAAGCGGTAACACTATAAATATTATTCCTTTGACAGATACATAACCTGAAAAGCCTTAAATGCCAAATTTCCAAAAGACTGCGTTCCGTACGTGGTCACGTGGTGGGACTTTGAGGTGTGGAGCATAGTACCAAGAAATAAGCTAATATTGTAATTTCGTATTTAAACAAAATTAACCTCATGTAGCCTCACCCACGAGCCGCCACTGCATTATTATGGTTTTTATATACATGATAACAATTTTATGGTAACATACTTGTATGTATATTATACATTGTATAATACCTATTAAATATCAGGTCTCCTTAACATCAATTTGTTAAAATTGATCCTATTAATTTTTCAAATAACACGATATCACGATATATCCCATATTATGGATTTTTGTACAATACAGCACAGTTTAAGTGAGAAAAAAAATATCAACAATAAAATTCCAAATCAGATTTTAATCTTCAACTTACTTTTTATTTTTGTTTTATTAACATACGACATAATTGTTATAATCAGTATTTTCCTGTGAATTTACTACTTGAAAATATACTTTTTCTCCTACAAATATTATTATAAAAAATAATGTATTACTAATTAATTTAACCATTTCTATATATAGAGCGACATCTTTACAAACCAAAATTGGTGTTAGGAATTTGTTTTAGCGGCTTTTAAAAATTCATTGTCAGTTTGTCAAATTTTCCTGTAAAATTTGTCCCGTTTGAATCAGGTTTTTTTTAAAAAAATAAAAAAATTCTTAACATTTTTTGGTTATCTAATATATATGTATTATTTTTAGAAAATCTACTTACCATAAATAAAAACCATGAAAACTAAAAACTGAACAAAATTAATGCATTTTACCATTTTATCGTTTACCTACTATGATATATTAACGTCAAAAATAATAATAAAAAATGATAACGTTCGGCACTTGTTTTTTCGATGGTGCTCGCGAGTGACTGAAGAGATGAGTCGGCGGAGTGGCCAGTAAATCGAGGCGGCTTTGCTAGAAAACAAAAGATAGCGCACGTGGTGCGCGAACAAAAGCTTGAACGAGGAAAGTTGCGAGTGGGGCCCGGATTTAACGTAAAATATCTTTTGTTGATTTTTAAGCCTAAACCGCTACACGGAGAGAAATGTATAGTAAATTTTAGATAGTAAAAAAAATATGGTAAAATTTACTTTAGGGTAACAATATTATATATTCGTCTATATAATATTAAGATTGTAATACAAAATACTATTTTTTATTATACAATTTTAGTAAAGATTACAACACCAATATTTCTAAATCATAAATGTATAATATATATTTTAATTTTTAATATGTTCGTATAGTAAATTGATTTTACTATCTACAAATAGTAATATTTACTATATGATTTAATCAAATGTAAGGTGTACATCTAATATTATAATATATTACACATTAATAAAAAATATAGTAAAAATAAAGATACTTTTATGTTTAAGGTAAATAAACAATATAGTTAAATATAGTAACTCATGACATTTTAAACATTCAATTTTCTTAGTTTCTTCAATAAACTTTCTTGACCCATTACTGGTAATACTTATAAGAAAGAATTGAACCTACTTGGTTGCATAGTGTGTACCGATTGCGGCAAAGGCCACGTCGCGACGCGTCGCTAGACGGTGTGGATCACGTGATGTTCTTACATCTCGCCTCTGTTGCCTTACCAACCATGTTATATAAGCTCAGGTATTTCTTTGTTTTGGGTGTGTTCCTCTACTAAAAGTTGCTCGACAGTGTCGTGTCGACACTGATGATACCCAATATAGGTCAAAACACCTGTCTGTCGGTATTTGAAGTTGATGGAACGCACTCAAAACAAAAAACTTTGGCGAGGTGTAGGTTCAATTCTTTCTCATAACATTTTTTATATTGAAAAGTACAATAAATATGTAACAATTTTTAATTGTTAACATATAAAAATATTCGATTTTAAAATATTTTATATTTAAAATGGCAACATAATATTTTAAAATTTACTATACTTATTAGTAATGGAAAAAATCTAATTATAATAAGAGTTAAAAACAAAATTGGTTGAGAATAATAATATTTTACCTTAAGGTTAAACATACATGGATATTTAAAAATTACTAAATATGCATAGTATCTGGCAATATACAAGATAGTTGTCCCAAATAGTAATATAAATTATAGTAAAGGGTAATATAATTATGGTAATCAACATTTTACTTTTCTCTCCGTTTACAAACAACAGTGCCTTTCGGGCCTTTTAGGTACAAGATGAAGCTAGTTGCAAAGTAAGGTTAAAACAGTCTGACAGATGTCAGATTTTATTTGTTTTTGAAATTTATTTTAAAACAAACATAAACTGAATAAAATGACGTTTAACAAATTTGTTATACTACACTGTTATAAAAATGAGTTTGTAGTTTGTTAATTTCATTTTGTAAAATTAAAAAAAAACACCTTTTACTTAAAAAACAATTAATGATTTTAAACATTAGAATACATTAATAATTTACTGTTAAAATAACTTTTAAAAAGGAGGATAACTTTTATTGATATCAATTTATTTTATTGATTACCGCTGTAACTTAATAACAATATAAAATATTAACACTAATTTTACAAATATTGAACCTTAGACGAATGCAGGAAAAAAATGTAACCTCATTTTTTCAAGATTGTCACTTGAAATGTCCTTAGACCATAAAAGTAAATCAGTCGCTTCACCTTTATTTAGAAACAATACCCATTAATTTTCATTTAATTGCTTCCAAATACAATAAAGTATATTTAATAGTTTCTTACAAATTTTCAACGGTGGAAAATAGTTTGTGATGTAATACAAGTTTGGTTTAATTTTTATTGTGGTTTATACATTCATGGATTGTATAACTTTAATTAACAACTGTAATAACTATACCTAATTATTAAAATGTTTGTTGTGCAAATTAGATCTCAACAAAATGGAAATTTGAAATAAATTAAATGTCACTTTTATTTACAAAACCTATTTGTTTGCTATAACAGCTTTGTTTATTTAAGAATTGAAATATCAAAAAATCCTAATTTCCCAGTAAAGTTCTGTTTGCTTAGATTTGATTGCCCAAATATATATTTAAGAGATTAAAATTTCACTTTTTAAATCAAAAAGTTAAATATTTCAGTTTTGAATTAGCAGTAGCAGTATTCATAAAAGTTTAGTTTAGTACATTTTGTCATTTTCATACAAATATTGTTGTATATTTTATTAATAATTAAGTATGGCATAACACATAAATCACGTTTAATATACAGGGTGTTTCACATCAATTTAAAATTTTAATAGCGTAAATTATTCGCTTTAGACTTTTTTCATAAATTATTTTGAACAAAATAATACTTCCTGTTTTACCGGAAATGTCTTTAACTTTGTTATTTTAAACAGGACACACATTTTTTCATTTTTTAATTCTACATAAAATTCTGAGTAAAATGGCTATACCATATCCTATACCTAAAGTCAATATTTTTTGAGTTATTAATTTTTCAATCAAATATTTTAATTAATTTTAAACAAGTAGAATTTCACAGGTTTTTTGATACAAAAAAGTATTGAAAATATTAGAAATTGTTAAATGTCTCTGAAATTTTAACTAGGAAACAGTTATTATAATACCAATCGAAAGATTCTTTAATTTTCTAGTTGATTATGTTAAAACATACAGGTTTTTACATTTATAATAAAAACGTTATTATTGTTTGAAGTTTGCCTAAATTCAAGTGGTTTTTCTCAAGGTATTTGTTGAAAAACCTTTAAAAAATTAAATTATTTAAACAATGTTTTAATATTCCAAAAATTCCAACCCCTATTTTTGATTAACGTGCATTTAGCAAAATTTTAACGAAAAAATTAATATTCTGAAAACTATTGACTTTAGGTATAGTCTAAATCAAATTGTATATGCTATTAAAATTTCAAATCCATATCGTTTGAGTTTCTCCAGAAACACCCTGTATAGCAAAATAACTAATTACAAAAAATCAAAAAACGACTAAATAAAAAATATAGATATATTTAGGTAAATAGCCGATTGCAACATAAAAAATAAAGTATTCTATATATATGTATATATATATATATATAATATATATTAATTCTAATTTATTTATTGGGTAAATATTACTTTCTTCAGTTTGATACTAAAATTGAATCTTGCTTATCGAGTAAAAAATAAATTGAAGCTTGGTTGTGGAGCAAAAAATAAAATTAAAGTAGGTTATACTTTCTAGCTTGCTGACACTGTCTATAATTATTATTTAGTTTATTCATTTTAATAAATTAATGTTTTAAGTTTATAGTACACTTATAAATTGAAACGCAATCAGTCATTTGCAACTTATAAACTGAACTGTCAAATTATCTTTCATGCTTCCAATGATCAAAATTATCAAACTTGAAAAAATTTAAAATTTATAAATAAAACTAATTTTAGCTCCATCTATGACGACTTTTTTTAATAAATATGTAAAAATTGTATGTTATAATATATAATGTTTAATATGTAATATATACTACATTATCTTATAAAACTAGATAAAAGAATATACAATTTATAAAACACGTTTGTATTATTCTCTTTGAAGGCCCAATTTAAAAATGGTGTTTCTCCTAGAAACATAATTTGCATGTAGAAGTTTATATATTAAATAATAGTTAGGTAATTATCAGTAACGTGATATACTCAAAATTATAAAACAACGTTGCTTCTTCGACTTTTTAACCCTTAAAAAATGGTAAAATTTTAAATTAAATTGTCCCCAGCGCCCCCTGTATAATAAAATCTAAAAAAAATAATACGTGGATTTATTGCCACAGTAGAGTGACTTAAGGCCTGTATACCACAGCGGTCAATGGATGAATTTTTTTTTTTTGAAAAAAATGTACCATTTAGATGTAGAAACAAGGTTAAAAAAATATATTCAATTCTGGCATCACTTGCAAACAAATGTCCAAAATTTGTTCGATTTTTACGCGAAACCATAGTTATTCAATTTAGAAATTGTTAGTTGAAGTTTATAATAATAAAAATTTAATGTTTTTTTTTAATTAAACAAAAAAATATTTATTAAGGTATTGTCACGTATTTTCAACACTAGTTATAAAGAATATATTACCCATAAAAACATAAAATAAATTTAATGGAGATTTTTGTGGTCAAAATAAATTAAATGTAAAATCATTATAAATTAGTTTTACTTAAGTACTTGTTTGTTTTAATTATTTATACATACATACCCATGTCAAAGCATTAATAAGTAGGTATAAAATTCTTAAGCAGTCAACCAATAAATACAAATTGAAATTAATAATTGATTTGTCTGCTAAACTCCATGAAAGAAAAGTAAACAATTTTGAGATGTGCCGAAACAAAGAATTTATCAAAACAATTTTAAAAAAAAATATAATATTTAATCAAAACCTCAATTATTTATAATAAAAAACTAAAATCTCATGTCTCGACATATTTACCAGTAATTTTATTATTCATAATTATAATTTATTCATATAGAATTTGCCTGTGTATCTTCAAATATTAATTTATTGTTGTCTGATTATCCTTATTATTGTACATCATATTTTTTTGGGATTTCATAAAGGTGTTTTTTAATCCTTTGTATTTATCCGTTCAGTGGCTATTTATGGGTGAATCTCACAAAATGTCCCCCACACTTTTATTGTATTTAGATCTTTCATAATTAAGTAGATATAACAGCTCAGGTTCCAGATTTTTAACCGCAATTAATTATTTTTTAAAATGTTTTAAAAGTCAAAAACCTATCCTCCGTGACTGTTACTCTTTCTAGGTTAACCTATATGTTTTCAAATATCTGAGGTAGTAAAAGCATACTAAAAATATCAGTTCAATAAGTAAATTAAACACATCCAAAGCAATCGAATCAAATATAAAATATTATTAAAAATTAAAAGAAATAAT